CTAAATTAGTACACTTAGAATTTTACCTAAAACTAAATTTCTGCATAGAAAACATACAGGAGAATTTAAAAGTAAATTAAAAGTACATTACACACACACACACACACATATATATATATATAATTTTATACACACATTTATACAGATGGCTCAAAAGTTAATTACCCATGTGTAAATGTCTTCAGCAAGGATAACATATGAATTGCCCTGACACATATGTTTTTGGAGCAGCAATGACCATGCCACTTTCATCTTTTCCCTGTCTCTGTGTGGTGCTTACATATATGTACTTGTCACACATATTCTCATATATTAATCTGGAAAGGCATGAAAGTTAAAATGGATTAGCTGTCCTACTCCGAGCAACTGAAGATCATTCTAAATACAGTGCAACTAAATTATTCTCAAATAAAAAAAATTGCAGAAATAAACATAAAAGAGATGTATAAGTGCAAGGATTACATTAATACATTTTAGATAATATATATAAAAGAAAACTTTTTAAAAAGAGTAATAAATTTTCTTTGAGACAAGGCAAAAGCACAAAATTGGGGAGTATCAAAAGACGAGATAAGATTATAAATATGAAAATCAGTAAAGCATTGAGTCAGTTTATTGCTTTAAGCTACTGAATGAGTATTGAGTTAGGCTTGCTTCCAGTTATTCATTTAAGATTTGGTGAAGTATTTGGATCCTTGTTAATTATCACTATTATTCGGTTAATCGATCGATTTGTCATGTTATATATCAAATCACCTATGGATTCATAACTTTGTCGGTCACTAGGGTCCCCAATAACGTATGAGTCACGCACAAAAATACAAACAAAAACACCATCATTGATGATCAATATTGAAATTCATCCTGCTAATTGCTAACGAGGTACTTTATGTATTGCACATAAAAACAAAGTGATTTCATCAAATGGTTTTGGATAATTTTAGCCGCGGCAGGATTACAGTAACTTAATCTGTGAGGTCTTTTTTTTTTCTTAGCTATATTTTTGTGCGCCAGCAATACCAAGCGTAGGGCGCGCGTATACCCGATTCGGTTTTATTACTCAATAGAATCTCTACGAGCCTACCCTCAAATTGAAATTCTTTTAGGCAGGATTAGAGTAAATTAATATACGAGACCTTGGGCGTGGTCAAATATATCAGTCGAAAGGGTTTGACCTCATGAGTCCAAAACTGTAATAAGATCTCAAATCGGTCAAGAGATGACGGAGCTTTAAATTAAACATTTGTACTTAAAAAAACAACAACTCAGAATCATTCTATGAGCCGCTATGCCGCGGCTAAAAATATGAAGAACACTTATAGTTATAATGTCATCTGAATATCCATTCTAAAGTTACCATTAAAAAATGATACAAAGTAAGTGTTTTTCAAACTGGGGTCCGCGAGTCATGTATGAAATTTGGTAAGAGTTCCATATGGCACCCCCCCCCCCCCTATTTAAAAAAAAATTTCAAAATAAATATTTATTT